TCATGCATGTCCATAGACTTTAGACTTGTTTGGAAGTCTCAGAAACTTGTCGGGTTGTCGGTGCTATATCATTGGCACCGGTCGCCCGGGTGGTCCAGTTGGTATCCTCGAAACCTTCTGGAGGTCAGGTCAGGGGTTCGAATCCCGGCGTAAGCGAGCTTTTCTTGTGAAGTGAGTTTTCTCTCGCTTCCGCTGCTGGCCTAGTGGATAGCGCTAGTTCGTGTGTACACAGAGGGAAGAGAGTCCTGAACTCTTCTCGCATAAAAAATCAAGCCAAAGTACCGCATGGGGGGACAGTAGAGAGGCGCACTTCTGTGTGACCACGGGTTGGAGTAAACGGCACCACCAGTGCTGTGAGCACTGATTTGAAGTGAAGACAAAAAAAAAAAAATGGTCGAACGCGTATGTGAATGGGCGCTTACCTATCATTGAGCGTATGCATGAGCACACAAACAGGAAGATGTGGACGACTGGTGTCTTTGCTAGGCGCGGCGACCTAACTATGAAAGAAGCTGGTGGGCCCGTGTATTTCGCGGAAGAAGCGGAACTCCACCCGTTGTGCCATCCGGATGTACATGGTCGCAACACGGCAAGCTGAGGACAAGTCAAAGTTGTTCCGCGAGATACGATAAATATGTCGGGGGTTGCACATACACATATATGTGATGCGCACCAGCGACAGTTTGCGAGTGGACCCGTACCAGTTGAATTGCGTTGTGTGTGCTGTGTGCATCATATTGACATGGATATCCGGAAACGTCTGGCCCTGACATCATTGGGACGTCGCATGGACACTCGACGGGACGAGCGGACGTGCTACGCGTCCCAACGGTTTTCAATATCGGCCCCTGCAGCACGGTACTTTGTTTTTTTTTTCTCCCATTCTCCCATCATTGGACTCTGTCGTCTGCCCCTCTGGCTCCTATCCTCCACTTCTACCAGCTAGACGACCCAACCGGGGTCACATAGGAGGGGGGGGCTGGACCCCCTCCTGAGGTTCCCGCCTGAGGTATTTTTATCGCGAGAAGGGTACAGCAATCCCTTTCATCGCGACTTACGAAGTCGATCAAGTCTACTAACAACGCACTTGCGCGTCGCTTCCAACGGTACTTTTTTTTTTTTGTCTCCCATCATTCGAGTCTGTCGTCTGCCCCTCTGGCCCCTATCCTCCACTTCTACCAGCTAGACGACCCAACCGGGGTCACATAGGAGGGGGGGGCTGGAGCCCCACCTGCGGTTCCCGCCTGATAATTTTTATCGCGAGAAGGGTACAGCAATCCCTTCCCTCACGACCTATGAAGTCGATCAAGTTTACAAACAACGAGCTTTGCAGCGCGTCGCTTCCAACGGAGATTCGGATTTAATTGGCGACAAAGAACTCACACTGTCGGGACTCGAACCCATGTCCTGGCCCTTTGCAGGCTTCGAGGCTACCCACTAGATCACCGGGGCGACCGGTGCTGTAGCTAGCTGCTGGTTGGAGATGCAATGATTTCTCGCACAGGTGCATTTAGTCTATTTTTCAGATAGGTTTGGTGGTGGGAGTTTCCCGAACTTGGATAGTCTATGGGCAAAAAAGTGCCTACCCAGAGCAATCTCCCACATTACTGACAGTTTTGCGAAATAAACCGCCTATGGGCGGTCCCATGGGCGGCCCTGCCCACGAAGTGCCCACCGAGGGCACTTCAACCTATAACTTCGCCACCGGCGTTTTATCCTAGAACTTAGCCATCGGCACATGAACCTACAATAGATGTTGGCCGCCCAACACCAACCTACCACGTATCGTGTGGGCTTGGGGTTAGGGTTGGGGTTAGCGTTAGGGTTGTTAGCCATTGTAATGCCCGTTCCAGAGCAGATAATCCAGTGTTTCGGAGTACACTGGTTCCGGTTGAAAGGCTCAAATTGGCCGCCCGTGGGCGGTTTAGCAAAAAACTGTAGCGTGGGAGACCCCAGCGGCGGCATCCTTATCCTGTAAGGGCTTGTTGAACGCGTGTTTTCTTGATTCACAGCAACACTAAGATTGCCGTCAAGGCAATAAGGAAGGTTTCCTCTACATTATTGTGTTGGCCACACTTAGCCCCCACCTTCTCCCAATTCAATACCATTCTGTTGTAGGCTTGATTGTTCCATACTTTTTCGCGTCATTAATACCCACTAGAGGTCGCTCCCTCACAAGGTTAACGTCCATTTGAGCATGAACGCCTCCACAGTCTACGTTTTATTACGTCTCCCGACTACAACAACGGAGTAGTGCAGGCCAATGGCACGTTTCGTGAGAATCGCATATATTCCCGACAACGCCGTCGAAATGTGCGACCCTGGGTGGCGTACTGCATTTTTGTTTTCTGGACGTGCTTGACTAGTCCGCAGAGAAAAAAGCGGGTGCACGGGGCTCTCCCTCTTGCAACGGATGCCCTCTCATATTGCTCTTCTAACTCCTTTTTGTATTTTACACAGGATGACAGGCACCTCCACCCCCCCAACGGTGGTGCGACTTCTATCCTTTGCGACCTGCCTCTGGTTCGCTGTGTGCAGCACCGGAGCCGGCAAAGCCCACGCCGACGAAGTAAGATTGGCCAACGAAACCACAGCAGCACCGCCCGAGAGGTCACCGTCTTAGAGATTTAACGGCGCCGTCATACCCATCACGGTGGGGGACCCATCATGCGGACCGAGCGCGCTGTACAACAGGACCATAGACTATTCGCGCTATGAATACGGGTGTTCACAGATTGAGGCAAGACAATACATAGCTGGTGTATCTGCAGCCAGGCTTTACGTGCATTGCACCCTACTTTCACCCACGTGACGAGCCTATTCGATGCAACCCCCCTCGAGGACTCGTGGTCATCGGTCAAGCACTAGGCATGCACAACATGAGTACGCCCTCGTTCAAACTGGGAGGGCATACTAGATTCGAGACTTTGTTGCTAACGATAGCCAAAGTGAGGTAATTGCATGCCAGTTTCAACAGCGTTCAGAGTCGAGTGCTCTTTCATGAGATTGTTACCGTAGGCCCGCCCTTCGCTGTACACGAGACAACCGGGGAAACGACCATTCGATCTCTCTTGCGACTGACTATAAGTGAGGGCAATACTATGACCATCAAACACCGCAAGCTTGCGACTGTTTCAAGACAATTATGTGGCCATGAAAATGCAGCGAGCCCGCGAGTATGTTTGGACAATATGGCCATGAAGCACAGCAAGCTAGAGGCTATGCTAGGACAACATGACCATATGACACGGCGAGAAAACATTCCCCCTTTGTCGCGGCGGGAGAAGGAGATGATGATGGGGCCGAAGCACTACATCGCCGGCGGTAACAGCCGAGATGTTTTTCTGGTGGACCACGAGGGCCACAAGCTCGTCCTCAAGACCACCAAGCATGAAAGCGCACATCTCTCCACACGGCATGCCATGGAAGCCATTGCTCTGGACGTGGTGAGCACGGGGGTGGGGCACCGCTTCAAGTTACCCTACGTGGGGATACAGCAGCTCGGTATGACAAAATGCACTGTTGACCAATTTTATGCAGGCGTTCGAACATGTTCGGGCGCGTACGACCTATGTATGTATGTTTTGGCAACATTCGTCTTCTGAAACCAAGACTCCTCTCGTCCTGCCGATGGCCTACAGGATGAAAGCTTGCCGGCCGAACGTGTGTGAGTCTGTGGTGGCGCCTCCGGCAAAGCCCACGGCTGCATCGAGGATTGTTCCACACGCGCCGCCCCGAAATGACCGACAGCTCGGTTTTGCCTCGTTTGTTGTCGAACAGTATGTGTACCTCTTGCCCAACCCAGGTGATGGGTGCGCCCAACATCGCGCCGACGCTGGGTGTTTGCGGTACGGCTTCCGTCCAACCCTTCTTCGCCGGGGGGACCGTGGAGGGCCTCATTTTCGAGGGGGCTTGGACGGGAGTCCCGATAGAGATGCCCGTCGTCTTGCAGATGTCGCTCGACGCCATGAGGGGTCTGCAGGTGCTGCACGAGGCCCCGGGCGGCCCGATCATTCACAACGCGATCAGACCGGAGCAGCTCCTCCGCTACGCCAACGGTGCGAAGAAGCTGCCTGCCTGCGCAGAGGTCGTTATCCTCTGGTTAGGGTCGGTTGTCCTCGGTCGGGACAGGTTCATTCTGGGTTCGAATCCTTGTCTTGCAGTACGTGCATCGCGTCTTTGCGCCACTCATGCGCGCGTTGCTGTAGCCAAGGGACTTACCGTCGATATATGTGCGTTGTCCGAGTGCCGGCGAAGCTTGGCGTCATCGTCGAGTTTCATGTTGCGACAACTTTCTCTCTTGGCGTGGAACCCTTCGGCTTTCGCTCGCTGCCGGAAAGTACCATGGTACGGAAGAAGCGAGGCATCCCCGAAGGACGTGAACAAAAACGGCGTTTGTCGCCTGATTGTCTGATAACACCGCAAACCTCCGTGCCGATCCATAACGCCACAGTTGGGCGGCCGTTTCGACTGCGTCGAGGGCGGCGATGAATTGTGGTCGGTCCTTCGCATTTTCAGTTGTCTCTTTGTCTCAAGCACAACTGTCATTGTCCGCACTAGCATTCCACGCACTCGTTTGGATCTCCCTCTTTCCTGATGCGTGCTTCTCAGGCACCGTCGTCTTGAGTGACCTAAACTCTTGCAATTTCATGGGGGTGACGCCCAGTGGGGAGGCCTGCCCGACGA